TTTTTTTTATGGAAGAAAATGCCCCACACCTTCGACAAAAAAAATTGCATACATACATATGTATTTAAGTTGCAAACAATGCCGTTTTTAATTTTGTACCTTCTTTTTCCATGAGTACTTATCGTTACCTTAATATAGAAATACTATAAAACGACTTATTCAATGATATGCATCATAATCAATCAAAAAGTGAATTTTGAATTTTCAGTTAGTAACGGATTTTTGAGTTTCAGCGACCATGTGAGATAGGGCTTTTCTATAAATATTAAGCTAACGTTATGTACACAAAACCCAAGGCCCGGGCCAGAACCGCTCCATTATTTCTATTGGAGCGCTCCATATTCAGCAGTAAGCGCTTCCCTTCCCTTTCTGTGGTGTAGTGGTTAAAAGTACGCGCTACCACTCCACAGGGACTGGGTTCAAACGCTGGTCAAGGCAGCATCCCAAAAAAGAATTATAGTTGTGTGACAACATCAAGATGGAGGAGAAGCGCGGCCAAACACTAACATACATATGTGTAAGCGTCGAGCTATTATTAAATTATTAAACACGAGTGCAAATTTATAACCAATCATCAAAACAAAATAAAAACAAAACAATAAAAGATTAATAGTGGTGATAATTAAATTTACACATATCTACGTAAATACAGTGCAGGACAAAATTATTGACACTAAAAATTTTTCGTAATATATGCAAAGTTTGTAATTCTAATTTATTTTCAATATTTTCGAATAAAAATATAGTTCGTACTTCACCAAAAAACATGGAATCAAAATCTCTAAACTTTGTGCAAGTATTCAGGAAAATTCAATAAATTTGCATACTGATATGCAACTTTCTATTCAAATTTTTTAGAAAAATTCTAGGTATGCAGTTTTATAGTTGATTCAATTTTAGTATAACAAAGTGCAAGCTTGAAGTATCTAGAAAATCGCGTTGATTTTTGGCAATTTTTTTAGTGGAAGGTGTTGTTCATTTTCTCCATACAAAAAATATTTCTCGAACATACTTTGTATGGAAGAACCAGAGTGAAAAAAATTGCCAAAAAGTAATGCGATTTTTTAGCAACTTCAAGCTTGTACTTTGTTATTGAGTTTTCCTGAGCTTTAGTTTAGACATTAAGTTAAGTGGCTAGCCGTGACTGGTATACACAAATGTAGGCCCTTGAAAGCTTTTTCTTTGTGTCTGTCCATCTAAACCGGTGATGGACACCGTATTGCTCGCGGGCAAATCTCTTTTGAGTTTTATATATATTTTGTATAGGCGTGTGCAGAGTAAAAACTCTATCTGCCCATCGCTAGTTTACTCTGCTAACCTGAAATTTACTGAAATTACTCGTTCACAAAAACAAGAATATCACGTTGTCTATTATTTTTATAAAATTTTTTCTGCTAACCAAGAACTTTATATATTTTATTTTTGTATTTTTATTTTGTTGTCACCAATTCATAGATAACATTTTTGGTTAATTACCTTGTAGGCTAGTGCAAACATATTCGGGAATTTTTGATTTTCTCAGTTATTACGTTCTGCTAACAAACGAGCGATAGGTTTCCGACAGAAAAATACACAAAACTTCACCCAAGTCTAAAAGTAAAAAAACAAACAAAAATTTGAACAATGTGTCCGAAAGGCAGCTGTATATAGTAATGCTTTTCTATTCTCGCATCTTTCGAAGATTAATTAAGTGAAAAAAATGGGGAAGCCGCAAAATTGTCGTTCTATTCGCTCAGCTGCTACACCTATTGAGCTTTACCATTGTCAATTGTTCGAGAAAAATTGTACGAATAAAAATTTATTCAGCCACATACGCCCTGTAGAGCATGTACAGTGGTGGAAAAACAAATAGGGACGCGATATTTTAACAAGCTGGGACAAATTTTCTTTTGTATATTTAGTGATTATTATAATTTCTATAAAAGTATAGCTCATTATCTAACAAAAACCATTAAGTTCAAAATTCAAACTTTGTACAAAAATTCAAGTTATATAATAATTCAAAAATGTTCGAAATTTTATAAGCTTTTATTAAGTTTTACTCGAATCTTGCCAACCTCAAACTTGGCTCAGAGCCCGATGACAATGCAATATGAAAGGTGATTTAATCCGCTAAACGGCGCAGGAGTCGGGATATTTAAGAAACCCATATTTAAATTCCGTTTTGTTTCATATTTAAAATGTATATTACTTCAATTGGAAGGAATAACCCCACAAAAAATTTCGCCCTTAGGTTGAGCTGGGGTCATTTTTTTTTAACAACCACTACTTCTAATCCATATAATACTAAAACATAGCTGACTACCAAACTACATATGTATGAAAACTTAACTAAAACTTCTGATTAAAAAGTTGAAAATTTTGACCAAACTTTTTCTTAAAAATTTTTGTACAAAGTTTAAAATTTGGACGAATTTTTTTAGAGATTTAAAACATAATAAAATTTTTTCTAAATTGCAAACCCCCGAGTGTACTTCTTTCATGAAAAAAGCTTCTCATAAAATCAATTTGCCATTCGGAGGCGGTGTATAATTTTAGGTACCACCATATGTATTATAACATCAAGACGCGTGTCACCGTTAATATATATATTTTTTTTAATAATATTCGACGCTGATACAGGGATGCATGTAGTACATAAAAGTCTGTGTATTTACATATTTATGTTCCATATATTAACTAAAAATTTGCGTGGGTGTATACGCGTCCGTAAATGAAAAGAAAAAAATGCAAGGTGCGCAAAAACACAATAGCGCACGCAAAAATACAAATATTCTAACAAGCAAATAGAGTGTCCACCAAGCGAATCGAACAAAAGAATCGTAAAAGGCAAAAAAAAAAAAAACAAAAAACCCAACAACTATTGCCTATTTACGTTTTTATACGTAACGTCATAGTCGCTACGTCACATTAGCTACTCTGCCTCTATGGCAATGTGCCATTAGATAGCCCACCAAACAAAAGCAATACACATAAGTAGCACTTATGTACATATGTATGTGTAGGTGTAGGTAGTGGCAAGAAAGGTGGGGATATGGTGTTAACTTACTGAAACATCTGCATTTTATTGTGTGCTCCAACACATCGTTTTGCTATAGCACCTCTGCTGCTTACTGATACGATCAGGGCTGCCAACTTGGCTATAACCGTGCCATTTTTGGCCCTATTTTGCTATCTACTAATCGCACTTAATTTTTCAATTTGGCACAAGGTGGCAAAATGGCACTTTTGAAAAATAGTAATATTTCAATATATTTTTGTGAAATCCTTTGGTTGTACTTCTCTTTCTCAACTAAAATTTCATATCATATGTTCAACACTGTTGCCAACTTGCAGTAAATTTTGTGTTTTTCATTATTCAAAAAGTGAAAATTTATTAGTTTGGTGCTCGGTGCGCTTTTTAGTGCTTTTGTTTTAGTTCGAAGACACCAAATCTGTAAATCTTAAACAAAAATGGAAGTTAAATTTTTAGAAGTGTTAGTTTCGCAAGCAACTTTAGAAAATTTCAACCAAAAACAATCATGTACATTAAATCCTCCTAAGTCATTTAAGCAAATAATAAAATATTCTCTTTTGACGCGCGGGCACATACAGTTCCACACGAGTAATTATGTACCGGCACGCACTTTGCCTTTGCACTGAACAGACGAAACTAGCGATCAGCTAACGCACACTACAAGCGGCATCGAGTCTCACGCACGAAAATGTTAAGCGATAGAGAAGCAGAAATTCGGCTATCGGCTCTGGTGTCAATGCACTTTGTACGCATAATTTTTGCGAATTCGCCAAATTAATATATATTTTTTTTTATTTTCAACAATTTTCTTTTTCTTTTGTTTTGTTTACTACTTTCTGAGAGTGCTTCTTCACGCTTTCGCTGCCGGTAAAATAGAGAATATGCACAAACAAATACATATGTAAAGTTTAGCGTCGCTCGTTATTATTGTGTTGCCTTCAGTTGTGCGAATTTGCCAAATTCGCAAAATGTGCGTTGATGCGTACAGTGAGTGACCTAATTAGCGTTCGTTGAACCTTCCTCAAGGTAAATTTGTCTATCGCTTCCGCAATCTTCCATAGCTTACGCATACTTATATAGTTAGTTGAGGCGCGAGAAGCATTGATCATCACTTTGTTGGGTTGATTGAATGGAAGGCGGGGGGGAAGTCGTTTTGACGTTGAGGAAGCTTTGGGTAACGTGCACAGCTTTGCAAGTGGTTGATCAAGCGATCGGGCAGCGTTGTTGATCTACTTTTTTCCATGCGCACATACAATGAGAGCGGACTATTAAACAGTTGCTACGCATATTTAATGACCTTTTTGCTTTTTATGTAGTGAATATTGCGAAAATTTTGCAAACTTTTCGAGTTCACGTGTTGGCTTTTTTTAGGGTACGCGTGTAGCAGTTCAATGGCCTCAAACCTTTGGGATGACGATGAAATTTTAGTTGATAGAATTACAAAACCAATCAACTGCTTTGTACTTCCTTGATTCCACGAGAATTCGATTCGAGTTTAACAGTTCAATAAAAGTTTCTTAGCTTTTGAAGTTGCTTGACTTCTGCCTTTTGAACCAGGAAGATGTGAATACCTTAATTGTTCTTGTCGCACATATTGAGCAAGATTGTACAGCTTTGGTCAAAGCAACTTTATATAAAATCATTTTTTGTGTTTTATTATTTTTCTAAGTTACACTGTTATACTTTTTAGAGAAGGCACTGTATGGATATTTATTCTATTATTTTTTTTCTTAAAAAAAGTTTTTGGTTTTTTGTTATTTATTATATGGTTAAACTAAAAAAAAAAGTTTTAAAACTTTCAACTTGCAGTACAAAAATTTTTACCAACCTAAAGGTTGTATTCCAGTTGCAAATGGTCTCGGAAATTAATTTGTCAAATATTATGTAAATTTTTATATTATTTAAAATTCTCAAAGCAAATCAAACGAAATATTTATTGCAAATTTACTAACTCAATTGTCGTTTTTTTTTTTGTCCTTCACAGAAATGGCGGAAGGCAATGGCGAACTGGTAGAGGACATCAATCAAAAATCAGAAGATCGCGGGGATGGTGAAAGAACGGAAGATTACCCAAAACTCTTGGAATATGGCTTAGATAAAAAAGTAAGTTAAAAAAATTAAATACATAAAGTAGAATGAAATAAAATAATATTTTGGTTGGAGTAAAAAGGCCCAGCATATGTACATATGTTCGCGGTTTTTATTAAAAAAAAATATTATTAGACATATTATATATTTAAAAAATTTATTTTTTTTAGAAAAAAAGTTTTTCTTCATAGCTTCAATAGAAGCTTCTTGTGATCTCTTAAGGGGCGATAGTGAACTAACGAATACGAAAACTAGCATCTACACCAAGGCGAATTTATACAAGGTGGTGTTACTAGATCAGCTGATTTTGTGCGTTCATGGTTTAGAACGGTGGTGGTCACCGGCTTGCTCGCGGACAAAGCTCCTTCAAGCTTAGTATAGAAAGCTTGAAAAGGCTTTGCCAGCGGGCAAACTGATGCCCACCATCGGTATACACCCTCCAAAAAATGCGACTAATCCGGGATGACTCCGGGACCAATCTCAAAGGAACATGCGACTAATACCACATTTGATCTCTTTATATGGAATGAACTGTTCGCTTTTGTTCGAGCATGTCCTATGAAGAGACTAATTGTTCACCTTTATACCCGAACGGGTATAAAAAGCGACTATTCACTTTTAAGCTGAGATTCGAACCGGGGTGCTCAGTTTTGTTAGGCGAATACTCTCTCTGTGTGCCAACGCCGCTCATGAAATTTCATTTACTAAGTGCGTATATATCATTAAATCGTTAATAGTACCCGTTAGAGATGAGTCGGGGCCTAATTGATCTCCAATTATGCCCATAAGGGATGAGTCGAGACTAATTAACCTCCATTAGTACCCGAATGAGACTAGTTGGGACTAATTAATGCCCAATTGTACCCGATTGAGAGTAATCTCGGAATAATCTCTTTAGAGATTAGTCGCACAATTTTTTGCAGGGCAATGTCAAATTGAAATACTTTGTTTTGTATTTCCACACACACTCTTACGACAGTTCATGCCGCAAAAGCAAAAACAAAATACATGTTCATTTTTGTTTTTGGACTCCAGCTACCACCTTATATGAATTCGTCTTGAACAACACGAACACGAAGACGAAGCCGGTTACAAAGACAAATATGGAGACGAAGGTAAAGTCGAAAGACGAAGGCGAATACAAAGACGTCAGGCATGATACCACGTAGAATAATATAAACAGGGCATTATGTATGCCAGAAAGGACGGACGCAGCCTCTGAATGTTGCAAGATTGTCCTCTGGGGCTGATTGGGCAAGTAGCAGTCCAATTGTAGGCCTATCTCCGCGCAACAAACTTCGGAAGCCAATCGCTCGCTTTAACATACTATGCCCTAAATTTTATTGCACAAAAATGAGACTTGGGCAAAATATCCTTTGCAGGCTAAAAAATGGCTTTTGACTCAGAAGCATTTGTCCCTTCCAATAATCTCAGTTTGTTGTTTCGCATAGCAACGTTTCTGGCAAACACTCTGCCGCCAACCTTAGAAGGCACCGGGGATGTTATGATGTGCTACTCCCTTAGGACACGCCTTTGCCAGAAGACTCTCTTTTACTAAAATAAAATTGAAATTTATATATAAAAATTTAGATGTACGATTTTCACATTCTGTAACCACACTTTTTTTTATTGTTCTCTTTCGAAAGGTTGCCGGCAAACTCGATGATATTTACAAAACAGGTAAATTAGCGCATGTAGAATTAGATGAGCGCGCACTCGATGCGCTCAAAGAGTTTCCGGTTGATGGTGCCTTGAATGTATTGAGTCAGTTCCTCGAATCAAATCTGGAGCATGTATCGAATAAGTCTGCGTATTTATGTGGTGTTATGAAAACCTACAGACAAAAAAGCCGCGCCAGCCAACAGGGAGTGCCAGCGCCAGCGGCCACAGTTCCAGTTAAGGGACCGGATGAGGAGAAAATCAAAAAAATTCTCGAAAGAACTGGCTACTCCTTAGATGTGACCACTGGTAATGTGTATAGTAAAAAATTTTACCTTTTTTTCAAGTTTATTTAACTTTTTTCCACTTCTATTTTTTTTAATTTGTTTACACCTTATTTTCCAGGTCAGCGCAAATATGGTGGACCGCCACCCAATTGGGATGGTCCAACACCCGGCAATGGCTGCGAAGTTTTCTGTGGGAAAATTCCAAAAGATATGTTTGAGGATGAAATTATACCGTTATTCGAGGAATGCGGTACAATATGGGACCTCAGACTAATGATGGATCCGATGACGGGTACAAATCGTGGATATGCATTTGTTACCTTCACGACGCGTGAAGCAGCCTCAAATGCCGTACGACAGGTAGTTTGAAATTCATTTGTTACTTTTTGTATATGAAAAAAAAAAATACGCGTAAAGCTAAGAATAAATAAACAAACAAATATATATGTATATATTTTATATGCAAACACTTTATCAGAGTTGCGAACACAAGAGCTTTTATATTTATGTAGCTTTGTGAAAACGAACAGTAACTCTTAATTATATGTATATGTATATACGTACATATTTAGTACTATTTACCTATTGCAATCAAAAACAAAAACAAAAAACGCTTTAATCGATTGTACTATAATTTCTTTTTGATAGTATAATTTTAGGCACCAAAAAAAAAAAACGTTTCTTTTAGACCGAGAGCAAACAAAATTTCTTCGAAATTCATTTGACAAAAATTACACGAAAAAAATTTAAGTCAAAAGCAAAAAAAAAAACAAAAAATCTGCAAAAACTAAAAAAAACACACATTTTGGATGAATTTAATCGGATACCAACTTCCGGCCCCAGATTTTGAGCGATTGAAAAACAAAGCAAATTTTATATAAAAGGGTCCACACTAGCGACTCGTACCGTCGCTGTATCGATTATATAATTAACAAATAATTTTATTATTATCTAGTATTATTTAACTAAGACACAGAACTCGCTCTAAGCTATTTATAAAAATGTAAAATTTAAGTATTTACTATTCTTGTAGCTGCTTTCGCGTGTTCTCTCTGTACTTTTAAGTTGTACTACTTTGCTGGAATCTTTGCTCTCTTAATTCTACAATACCGAGTAGTAGATATTTCACTTGCATTTGCATGCCGTTTCTTATATATACAAAACAAAAAAACAAAAGTCAAATGGTGCAAATTATTTTTTTTTTGTACTCATACAATCATTGAATTGAATGCAATCAAATATTTTCGACCGAAAATTCTACTTAAAATATTAAACCCCCAAAAGTTAATGAAATTAAAAACTGAACAAGAAAAATTTGGTTAAGTTTACAAATACAAAACAAAAAAAACGATTTGAAAAGCAGTCTCTAATGCTCCAAAATATTTCAACTTTCCGTTCAAGTAGTTTAGCTGCCTGTCCTTTACCAAGCCCCCGTTTCCTTATTTTATGTAGTTAAAAATATTTCCATTTATTTATTTTTTTGATTGTTTTTCTTAATTTATTTATTTATTACACGTTTCAACAGAACGGGCCGTAGTTATAGTCGATTTATAAAGCACGCTTTTGTAAAAAGATTTTTATTAATTTAAACACTAAACTCAGGATTTCGGTAAAAGTCAGGTGTAAAAATCAGGGAAGTGAGCCGGATTACAAATTAGATCAGTTGGGTTCAGCGCTTCGAACCGGTTTTGCACCTGTCGATTAGTTCGTCAGAACGGCGCTTTTTTTTCTTTTAACCGGTTCGGGAATTAAAAGAAAAAAAAAACGATGTACATACATACATATGTAGATATAATTGTGCTATTCAAAAAAATATCATATTGTAAACAAACAAAAGGTGTGGAAAAATTTTCTATTAAAAATTTATTAAAACGAATGCACTTTCAAATAAAACAAAAACGCTGGGAAAAGTACATTTGTACCTACTGTTCTATCACTGCACTATAGGTAATTTGACCCATTTTTATGACAAAAAATAATATTCTTCAAAAAACATGATTTTTTATTGATTGATAAATGATTTCAAATATTTTTCCAAAAAACGCTTAGCTCTTGCCGGCCAGTGGGTCTAAAGTGGGGTCCGTTTTTAATTTGTTGTTTTATTGAAAAAGTTTAAATGCAGTTTTTTTTACAAAGGTTCATATTAAGAAAAAAATGGCATTTAGTTATTAAAGTTATTTTATTAAAGAAAAGGTTTATTTTCGTAACTACGAAAAACTACTTTTTGCCACAAAAACTGTTAAAATTGTCTATAGTGCACCGTGGCCTTGCGCCAATCGAGCAGCTGACTGTGTGTGAACACCTACGTAGGTATAAGCGGTTGCTCAATTTAGAAATTAATTACACTCGATTAAAGTTCTGTCTGAAGTAAATACTAAATAATAATAATTTTTGAATAATTTTTTATTATGATTTATTTTAAGCTGCTTTTATTATGTCTATAACTACGTGCCGTTTGCTTTATTAGTTTGGTAAAGTACGAGAAATTATATGTAATTCAGAAAAACAAAAAATATTTAAAATATAGTTTTGGGGTACAACTTAAGTTTAAGCTTGAACGTGCGGCGAAAAAGAAGCAAACCCCAAAAAAAAAAAAAAATTCAACGAAATTCAAAATTAAATAAAAAAGATTAAAATTCAAAATTCCAAAATCTAAAACAATCCAAATTCTTAAAGCGAAATGCTAAAAAGAAAATATCTACATATGTGCTATTTCGATTTCTCCTCTTTGCAACAACTGCGTACCGTCTCATCGTTTCACTCCGGCAAACTTTTGTGTTTACTTTAATTGAATCTCTTCAGCTTGTGTTTACTCATTTCTTATATGTATTCTTCTTACGTACATGCTTTACTATTAGTTTAGTGTTAGTGCTGTGCTTAGTCTTCGATTTCTACCAAATTTCTTTGAATTTGCAAACAAAGATTAAGTTTGAATAAATATTTTTTTTTTTCTTCTTTTAAATCGGCGTCTACAGCGTTTATATGTAGTAGTCTTGTTCAAGAAGCTGCAAAATGCAAATGTCTGGTTTTATTTTTTCAATTGCGAGCATGTCCTCTATTAAACAACAAGAAGAACAACAAATAATTGCTAATAATATTCCTTTATTTATCTTACCTCAAATTTTCCCTGACCATCTACTAATGCGAAATTACTCTCATTTTGGACACGAAATTCATGCAACGTTTAATGAATGTTGGCTTTTGAAAGCAAAAAGAAAAATTATAAAATGTGCAATTTTCGGCTAATTAATTAAGTACGTCCGCCCGTCCTGCCCTCATCAAATCACTCACACCTAAACATTCTTCAACTTTACAAATCGAACTGAACTGGTAATTGTGTACGTTTAGCACCTTACAAAAACACACATACATACAAACATGATTCCCTAGTACCCAAGATTTATAAATATTTGTTTTTTTTAAGAATTGGAAATTTTCAATATTATTCCTAACCTATGCTCCTATTTTAGTTTCCTCCATGAAAATTTGTATCTTTCTTACCTTTAAATTACCTTCCTGAAAATTCATTATTGTTTCAAATTCCAAAAATTCGCTGACCTTCAAATCATCGCTCAATTTGCATTATTTCAAATTTATTCTTTCGTTTTATTTATTATAACATCGTAACTTTATTATGTAACCATTTGTGCTCAGTATTTTCGTTGATTTTTGTCATATTTTATGTTTTTACCATTTTTACTACATATTTATTTATTTATTTATTTATTTATTTATTATTTATAAAATTGTATCTTGTTTATTATTAGTGTGATCCTACCAACTACAACTGCATTACATTTACATTTACTACAACTACTGCTAAAAAAAAAAAAAAAATTAACAACAATGACATAAACAAACGCTAAAACACATATAAATATTTGTATACATATTCCCCATCTACAGCTCGATAATCACGAAATAAAACCTGGCAAGTGTCTAAAAATTAACATTAGCGTACCGAACCTGCGCCTATTTGTAGGCAACATACCCAAGTCGAAAGGCAAAGAGGAGATATTAGACGAATTTGGTAAATTAACAGGTAAATTCAAAATGAAATTTTTTTCTAAAATTAAATTTTTATAAATAAAACATAATTACTATGCGCATGTGGTGGAATTTGTGAAATATATTATATGCAAATTACCGTGAAATATCATACAATACAAAGTGTGCAAGCCAAAGTGCTAAAGTGGCATCAGAAATTGTAAAAAAAACATGTACACTGCTGGCAAAAAGTATTGGCACAGATGCTTTTTTACAATATAAGCAACAATTTTTATAGTAATATTTTTGCGACAATTTTTTTTTTTAAATATGGTTCATAGCATAACAAAAAAGTTAAAAATATAATTTCTCGCGAAAATTCAGCAAATTTTCATGCAAATTTTCAACTTTTTAATCAGACTTTCTAGATTTTTTTTTAAAGTACTAAGTAGCTACGAATTAAAGTTGATTTTTAGCCATGTTTTTCCCACAGTCTCTTCCATACAAAAAAAATTCGAAAATACTTTATATGGAAAAAATGCAAAACACCTTAAACAAAAAAGATTCTCAAAAATCCATGCGATTTTTTACCAACTTCGAACTTGCATTTTTATACTAGAATTTAATAGGCTACAAATCTGCATTATCTAAAAAATTTAAAAAAAAATCTGATTAAAATCTTGAAAATTTTGGTTTTTAGTTGAGTGCGAAAAAGTAGCTTCACTTTGTAAAATTGGACTATGTTCTTAGATCGAAATTTCAACTATGTATTTCAATGTAAGCGTATTGCTGGGAGCATATTATTGTTGATTATTTGGCGATTTAAAACTAGCAAAAAATACAAATTACTATGATCCAACAAACGTTGTGTGAAAATAAAAACGCTTTTAAATCTCCGACTGCCTAAATTATGAAATAGCCAAATTTACACCCTACTCCTCTTGAATAGCCACACTTTTTTTTGGTTTTTTTTTTGCAATAACCAGCCTTATATTTTTAATTTTATGCATTGGAAAAGCTCCAAATCTTATTTTGACCAATCCGGAATCTTAACAAAAAGTTGTGAAAATGGTGATATTATTTTACCTTGGCTACTTTCGTTTTTATGTGGCCCTTTATCAAGCCAAACGAATATTTTTTTTAATTTTTTAACTCATCAGAATACGCACAGTGGTTTACTTTAGATTGAATCAAAAAAGTACTTTCATTTCAGAAGCCTACTCGGCAAAAAAGGAACTTTAATAATTCAAGAACAGCACCTTCTTTGCCACTTTTATCACCGGAATGTCTGACTGCAAATCGCCGGCAACGTCCTGAATCCGCAAAGTGCTCAATTGATTCGTTATCTGCAGATGAGAGGGCGTCCTTAATTTAAATCCCTTTGTGCCACTTCTCTTTAGAATCGATTATTCCTCAATTTGAGATCAAAATTAAGCTTGTTCGAGGTCCACAAGTCCAAATATTTATATGAAAGCTCTAATCTTGAAGAAAAAAATGTGCCTATTCGAGTGAATTGGGGTGTACAAATATACATATATTTCTATGTCCATATGTAGACATTCGAGAGAACTTTAAAGCAGACAATTTTACCGATCATTCCTAGGGCTTTGTTTGAAAAGAAGTGACGAGTTGGTTAACAAATTATTAAAAAAAAAAACGATAATCAGAGTTATGTATCTTAAGAATCAAAAAAAAATAATAATTATCTACTTATGATATTTAACTTCTCAGGTACAATTTGGGCGTATATTGTACCCAATGGCTGAATTTACTGGCAAGCTTTGTATATTACAACTAAATAATTGCATATTTTTATAACAAATTCCACAACAATTCGCATAAATAATCGCAGCAACGTATAGAAATGCGAACAATTCTAATTGGCTTGTAAAATACAAAAATCCAATTGGCTTTAATATTGGCTAACACCCAATTGGCTAATCAATGTGTAAATCGGCGCAATTGTGACAAACAACAGCAAACTCAGAAAGTTTCTAATATATGCGACGAAATGAGTTACTTTTAAAAAATAGGGAGGGGGGTGTGTATATTCACGTGGAAAAAAGCAACTGAAGTGAGTGTGCACAAAATGTTAAAAAAAAATATTTAGTATGAAGTCTATAACTTATTTATAATTAAGCAATTTTTTGTTTGTTTATCAGAATACACATCACTATTTAAAGACTGTCACAACTAAAAAAAAAACTGTATTTTTTGTTCATAATATTAAGCTTTTATATTTCATAATACGAAGCTTGATATAAAGAGTAATTCTGCATCGTTTACTCGAAATTTTAACTTTTTTTGAGTTATAAGTAGACAGTCTTTTTAGTAAAAGAGCGATGTGTACCCATCTGCCAAATATGATTTAGTATTATTTTTTTACATTAATTATCACCCACAATAATAATGTGCTACCACCGATTTAATCATCCGACTCTACAACTAATTTATAACTAATTACCAAATATCCTTTATCATCATTGTGAGTATCATTACTTGCATATATGTATAAGCCTACCCTTAATTGTCACTGGTCATTGTCATCCACAAAGCATCTGCCTAAAACCTTAATCATTATTTATTATTATTATTATTATTATCGTTTATTTACTTAATTGTTTTCAATGCCACTGAGACTCTTTTCAAATGCGTATATAACCGAAATTTCGCTAGGTCTAATAATAATAACTCACCCAAAATTCTGTAAAAATGAATAAAGCCACTGCCATATGCACATACATACATACATACATAAATACATATGTACATACACACCACAAAGTGAAGATCTCACGAGTTGTTACAGTTTTCGACAAAAAAAAATGTGTTTTTCCTCGAAATTCGTGGCACACTTCCGTTTTTGTTCATTATCTTCCTTTTTGCGTAAAGAACAAGATTCCAGCGTGAAATTTTATTTAAATGAGATCTTAAAAAAAATATATACTAAAAGAATTAAAAATAGCAGCTCGTGCCCATATGTATATCCGTAGCTGTGTATGTAACGTATACGCCCCATGGCACCATACAGAGTCGCTACCACGTTTACTCGCACGCCTTAACTTTAAAGTCTAAAGCCCTGTATGCAGCTCTCAAGAAAACGGTCAAGAAAAAATTTCCATTATTTCGCGTGTGTGTCCAAAGAATTTTGACACTTTTGATACCTCACAGCCTGTTGCCTCACTCTTTCCTCAAGAAATAATGGAACGGGCATATATTTCTGTTGCAAACCTGGGTTGCCTTGTGCTCTTTTTTCACAAAAAACTTTAGAAAACCGTAGTAGAAAGCGTAGTAAATTTCTTAACAACTGCGTACTGCCTTAAGGAAATTTGACTCAAGAAAATTTCTTAGCCATTTCTTGTACGTCATTTTATATGGAGTTTTTGCTTTTCTTGAGAGCTGCATACAGACCTATATACTTTAAAAGTAATTCAAAGTCTATCGGCGTGGATGATTTTTGCGCAGTATTCCTCATGCAAATACATATATATTGCTTTCCTCATGCATGTAACAATTTTAGAATGAATTTGGAGTGTGCCGGTAAAAATCGCAAAAATGGAATTTTAGTTTCTCAAATCGTAGTCATCGTTTACTCAATGTAATTTATTTTTTCATTTGGTGGCACACTAGATTCGCCCGTTTCGGCAAGAAGAGCATTTTCACCGTTTAATTTTAATATTTTGAAGTACATTAAATTACCAAAATTAATAAAATCGTAAAATTTCAAAAATTACAAAATCCTGCGACAGATATTTTGCATGCTGCCATTTTTTTTTTATTTGGTGGCACATTCTTGAAACTTCATATATATGCTGTACTTGATGCCAACTTTCATTGCCCTTCAATATAAACATTCTGTTTAAAAACTTCCAAAAATTATTAAAAAAAAAACAATTATGATTTCGTTACTTTTTTGCCTAATTAACGGCGGCTTAAAGCTAAAATTGTTCAAATGCTTGATTTAATTTTTATTTCACATGTTACTGGACCTCCATTGTTTGAAATATATGCAAGAAGAATGTTGTAGCGTTTTTGTTTCTGGCAAGAAAAGGAAGTGACACTACAAAAAAAAAAACAAAAACAGCTCGTGGGATTTGCTCATAAAAGCATTCAAATATGTACATATGTCGCGCACGCACACCCTCATCCATACATACATAAGCACACCAGCTTTGTGCCGCACAATTTACATGCCTATTACATACACACACCAGCACACACATATGCAATTTTTGTGCGTGCATACATTCATTGTGAATGGCTATGTCGCTTCAAGTTCTGGTTCTATTTTTCTTTTTTGTGTGAAAGCCTAACGAGTTTTCCAACAAAGCTTTAGCAACAACAAAGATATCTCCAGTCATTAACTCTCGAAAATGAAAAAAATAAAAAATAAATAAATAAATATAAAACGTAAAAAATACCATAAATTTCAACAACAAAAAAAAGTAATAAAATTATTAAATTGTTTTGCACCAAATTTTTTCCTCAACTTAGTTCAGTAACATTGATTCATAATGCATACAGACTACATACATAACTACATACGAATATTCTTAGTTTTTACTCTTATATGGTTAAGTTTTTAGAAGTCATTTAATTTTCAGTGTTTTGATAAAAATCATTGCGGTTATAGTTTTGATTTAGTCAAAATTCAGTGAATAATAATGCCGCAACTCCAGGCACGCCTTGTGAGGAGATTTTCGCGAGCCCGCCAAGAAAAGCACTAACCAGATCGGTCAACACGATCTCAAGTGCTGATGTTACATTTATACATACATACATACGACACATAAAAATTCGGCTCCAAAAATTTTATTAGCATTAACTCTTGAATGTTTAGTGAAAATGTCCTTTAATTGGAGCTTACATACATATATGGGTATTTCCTGAAAAGTGTTAACCAAGACCAAAAAATAGAATTTTGCCTGAACAAAATTTATATATATGTCAATGGATAGCTGACATGACTTCAACGAACGTTAATAAAAGCCTTCATGTAGATGTAGATTTATTTACAGTCAAAGCCCATATTTTCATTGGAAAAAAAACGGGTGT